TAACTTTCCGAGGATTTTTATTCCAAGTCTGGGCAATATTTATATTTACTAATTAATATCTGAATACGTAAGCACTTGTAAATATTTAAGTGTAACTCTCACATCTGAGTACATACGACCATATGATTGGTATCAGTGGATGTACTACCAACTTCTCGGGTCTATGTACTTCAGCAGTAAATATATGCGCTAAAGAATACACATTTTCACACAAAAGTCAGGGTCTATTTGACCCGCTAAATATTGGCCGATCTTCTATCAAAACAGGCATGCTTATTCGTTGGCCCGATCCCCTTCTCCATGTAAAATTTCACGATGTTCGGGCCATAATTGCGGCCTCTGGAGCGACCCGAAAAACCGACAAAAATTTAGTATTTGGTTCATTTCATCCCCTAAATATTAACCGATCTTTACCAGAAACAATAGGGGTCTTCATTAGCCAGAACACATCCTACATGTAAAATTTCAGGTGGGTCTAGGTCCAATATTTCGCAGCGTTACAAAATCTTGGGGCTGCACAAAGCTATAATACCCTGACAACATAGTTGTGTAGGGTATAATAATGCAATTATTAAAGGCAATCACATGCCTTCACACAAAAGTTATTGAATATTGGATACTGCATAAAAATGCCACCACAACAATAATTTGCAAATTCACTTCAATTTCTTTAAAATTGAAATCACTTGTCAAAATTCTATTTCAATCATAGCCATTATTTTCTATTCTTTAAAAGATGATAATGCACTTTCACATTGTTGTCCTTTTTTATTTTTATATCATATTTAAATAATCAAATCCCATTATATTTATTACAATTATTCCATACCAAAAATATCTATAATTCAGAATCAAATATTTAAATTTAAATTGACTTGTCAATATTTTAAACAAGGTAGGTGGTGGTGGTTAGGTGTTTGTCAATTATTCATCAACAACACCTTGTTATTGTTGTTATTGTTTTATGCATAAATCTTTAATAAAAAAAACAATGTTTTTCCATACAATTCAAAATTCATACAATTCAATTTAAATCCCATAAACAATAATTAAAGTTCATGAACTCAATTATTTTGTATGTGTGTGTCTGCTGTTTTTTAATAATTCCAAAAAGGGAGTTCAGATTTTAGTACTTATGTTTTCAAAATGATTTCGAACAATAGTATAATTTCCTAATTACTTAATTGGCAATTTAAAAACAATTACTTTTGTTGTAAGAAATATTAAATAATTACTTATTGTTTTTATTGAATCAAACATGATAAATTCATACTATTTACATTCGTGTTATTGACAGCTTAATTTTCAATAAAAATAAAAAAACACCGCCCCAATGTGACATGTGAATGAAAACCGCATCAATTTTCCCAAATATGGGTGGGTAAATGACCTTATTATGCATTCTGTTTCGGAATGAAAAAGTTCATGTAGGTGTAATTGAACCTTTTGACGTTTTAATTTAGTCCGATTGATAAAATTTTTTAAAATTGAAATCTGAATTACAAATTTCAGATTGATAAACAAATTTAAATGATAAAATAACTGCGGATTGATTATTTCTATATAAAATCATCAAATCCTAAATACCAAAATTATGATATTGATAATTCTTGGTAGTAAAATGTAACACCAAAATTAGTACAATAAAAATTTTGCGCCAATCGATTAAAACACTGACAAAAGTATTTATATTTACCCATAAATTTGGGCTAATTTTGATACTTATTGTTAGGACGATTTTATTAAAAAAATATTCTTTAAATAACACATAGCACCGAACCGATTATCACGAAACTTAAAACACACCATTCCAGACTCAATTCAGTACGGTATGCCATATTTGGTGCAAATCGAAGGATATTTAGGGACTTTGGTGCACCATTTACCCTAAATCGGACGAAAATATATATGGGAGCTATATCTAAATCTGAACCGATTTTCAGGAAACTTTACACACATCATTCTAGACTCATTTCAGTACGTTATTCCAAATTTCCTATACATCGAAAGATATATAGGGACTTTGGTACACCATTTACCTTTAATCGGACGATTTTCTTCAATTTCAATAGGGTTCGTTCTTGGGCCAAATAAGTGACTTGTGACAAATTTCATCCAAATCGGATCATAAATGCGTCCTTGTTTACAATTTAAGATCTACAGACGGACGGACATTCATAAATCGACTCAGAAAGAGATTCTATGCATATTCTCAAAAGGAACCATTTCCACAAAGACATAATACCCTGTAGCACAGTGTGGTGAAGGGTATACAAAAATTATTCAACAGGTCTTTACTTAAATATTCTTCAAAAATCCATGCCTTAGCTAGGCTGGTTCTTCGAAAAAATATTCATAAAAACCCACGACTATAATTCTACTGGCCTTTTGCTTAAATCCACGCCTGAAGGCACGCTGATCCTTGGAAAAAATATTCTTTAAAATTTCACGAGGTACGTTGATCCTTAATTATTCTTTAAAATTCCGCGCCTGAAGGTACGCTGATCCTTGGAAAAAAATATTCTTTAAAATTTCACTCCTGAGGGTATGCTGGTCCTTAGAAAAAATATATTTAAATCCTTAGAAAAAATATCCTTTAAAAATCCAGGTATGTAGCTATTCTGTTCCTTGGAAAAATATTATTCAAAAATTCACAGCTACGTGGTCTTTGGGAAAATATTTTTTTCAAATAATAATAAATTAAATATAGACCAGATAAACAAAAATATAAAATATATAAATATATAAATATATATACATTTTTATATCATAAAATTATAACAATTTAAAATACATAAACATTTGTATATAAAACATTTTAAAAATCAGCTTTAATTCTTTAGAATACATTACACGGTTGTCATCGGTACAAATTTTAAATGGAATTTCACAATTTTGAAAGGTAAGAAAATTTTGGCGGGGGTCAATAACATCATTTTATTAAAAGTTTATACCGGCAAGCAGAATTGTTTTTGTTGTTGTTTTTTTCGATTATCAGTAATCAGCCTTATTCTGGATATTCGCTGGGAGATATCTCGCATATAAAAAATTTTTCGCTTTCACATTCTCGCCTTATTCTGAATGAATAGGGAGACGCAAAAAATGCGAGATGCTGATTCGAGTTTTCGAAAATGGTGGTTGAAAAATAGATTTGTGTTGCCATATTGTAATTTAAGTTGTAATGTGTGTGGCCATATTGTAATTTAAGTTGCAATGTGTGTTGCCCCATTGTAATTTAATTGTGTAATATTTTTCAATATTTCATTTTCTTGATTTTTTTATTAAAAATGTTTACTTTTTATTGTTATTTAAACTATATAACAATAAAAATGTGAAATATCAATAATCTGCTGTATAAATGCTTTGTAATTAAAAGAAAATAAATTAAAGTTTAAAAATATGGCAACCTACAATATGGCATGTGAAACAGCTGTTCATTGTTTTGATGCAATTTGATGCAACAACTACAACTGAGAATACAACAACGAATAATGGAAAGAAATCTGCGATTGAATTAATTAATTCAGTTTATTATTTCACTACCTAATTGTGTGCCTTTTTATTTAATTTCGATATTTATTTCCTCAGATTCTTAAAATGGCCTGTTATTTTATGATTTGCTCCTACTCCTTTATTTCTTCCATCAAATCATGCACACGATAATTTAAAAAATTTTTTTTTTTGTTCTTTCATAATTTTTATTTAAGTTTTTCACTGTTAAGCGGCTAATCAGGCAAATTTGGGGTTTCCATAATTTTTAAAATTTTTTTCTTGAGAGACAGATCCTCACCCAAAATGTCTGTATTTCGCCTCTAAAAATCAAACTCGACTTAAATATTCCTTATTACCTTTATACATTTCTTGGCAATACTTGCTTCAGCATGCATCGTTATCAATAGGATTTCCAATGGCATTTTATTGGTTGTTTTCCAGTTAAAAATTTGCTTACTATCATTTATAATATTCTAAATCGTCATAGAATAAGTATTGTGTAAATATTTTTCATAAAAATAGTTATTACTTATTTTTTTGTAGTCAACTCCCCTTAAATTTATTAGCGAAAATTTTCGCACAAAATTTCCTACTCCCTGTAATTCAGAATACCTAATTTTTCCCCAAAGCGGATTTTTTCGCTTTCGAACTTCATTCAGAATAAGGCGAAAGCGAGAATGCGAAAAAATTCACTGGAAAATGTTGTTCAGAATAAGGCGAAGGGAAAGAGCGAGTAAATTCACATGGAATTGACATCCAGAATAAGGCTGAATATGTTTTTGATGTTACACTGCCCCCTTTAAATGTGCATATAAATTATGGATATATTGATCTCGTATTTTAATTTCTTACATGTGAATAGCGGCAGCATCGTATATTGATCTCAAGTTTTTTTTTCATTTCATTTATTTTGTATTTTGATGAGTATTTCATATTAACTTAACTTGTTGAAATCTTTACACAATAATTGATAAAAGAAAATACTAAAAGTCGGTGTGGTATTTTTATGGGATTTCAGTAAACATCAGTTGGTTAAAACAAGCTCATACATAGCCTCGTATGAGCAGCTATTCCATATGTGTTGAATAAGCTTCCGTAGGAAATTTTCTACATTTATGGGGAAACCGTCCATCATCTTAAATGAAAATTTTCATATTTAAATTTTATATTACAATTTTTTTATTAAATTTTATTTCTTGGAATTCTTTTCATTTGTTTGTTTTGTTTTATTTTGTGAATTACAAAAATAATAATAGATTTTTTAAACGAAGAAAAAATAAACATTAGGTTTTCACCATAGAAAAAATAAAGAGAGAACATAAATGAGCTTGGGGGGGAGAAACAAGTGGAACATTTAACATGGAAATGTTTTTTGTAAAGGTACAGTAAAAATGGTAAACATAAAGAGTATAACATGTTTGTGATTGGTTCGTTTGTTTGTTGGTTTTTGTATTCTACTACTAAACTATGAATATCAATAAATGTATGGGGATGTAGTGGTTTGTTTGTTTGCATTGGAAAATTACTAAAAGCCTTAATCGCTTTCATCGCCTTCCTCCTCAGATTCTTCTTCTTCCTCTTCGGAGGCAGAGGCTTCCTCCTCCTCTTCATCTTCTTCACTTTCCGCCTTCTTTTTGGAATCTTTTGATTTTTTGTCTTTATCACCCTTGTCTTTGTCGGCCTAGAATGAAAACAAATCGTTAATAAAGAACATAATCTGTGTTTAAATAATTTGTTTGTTATCCTACCTTTTTACTCTTCTTATTTTCTGGCTCTGAATCCGACTTCTTCTTATCACCCTCATCCGATGAACTATCATCATCGGATATATATTCTTTGGATTTAAATGATCCTGAGGTATTTGCCGATTTCTTGGGTGATGCATTTTCCTTCTTACGTTTTTTGGTTGCCTTTCCCTTGGCAGCACCACCTTCATCATCACTATCATCGGCAGCCGGTTTATAATCTTTCATTTCATCAATATACCGTTGTTTATCCTTGGCAGCCAATTCTTCCCACTTTGATTTATCTTTAAGTTCCTTCCACAGTTCACCGGCCTTTTTGGCAATTTCCGTAACCTTAATACCTGGATTATCGTTTTTAATTTGTTCACGGGTATCGTTGAGCCACAGCATAAAGGCGGTAGTGGCACGTTTGGGCTTGTTGGCATCCTTCTTTTTGGAGGCTTTTTTCTAAAAGAGAGAGGTGAGAGAAATAGAATTTAAAATCGGATATCCTCAATATTTATTAAAACTATTTTGTAAAAGCGGTTACGCAATATGGCAGCTTAAAATATTTTAGATAAATTGTAAGGCGTAGATTTAAATAAAAATTATTTTCAAGATTTTTTTAAGGCGTAGATTTTTTGAAAAAAATATTGTTTACGGCGTAGATTTTCTAAAAATATTCTTTTCAAGAATTTTTAAAAATATTTTTTTTAAGGTGTAGATTTTTTAAATATATTTTTTTAAGATTTTTTAAAAATATTTTTTTCAAGGCGTAGTTTTTTTAAAAAAAAATTTTTCAAGGCGTAGATTTTTTAAAAATATTTTTTTCAAGGCGTAAATTTTTTAAAAATATTTTTTTCAAGGCGTAAATTTTTTAAAAATATTTTTTTCAACGCGTAGATTTTTAATTTTTTTTTTTCAAGGCGTACATTTTTTAAAAATATTTTTTTTAAGACGTAGAGTTTTTAAAAATATTTTTTTCAAGTCGTCGATTTTTTAAAAATATTTTTTTCAAGTCGGCGATTTTTTAAATATTTTTTTTTCAAGTCGACGATTTTTTAAAAATATTTTTTTTTTTTGCAAAATTTCTAAGTTCTAACGTAAATGTACCGATCGATCTCTAATCCCTTATCCTCCCTCTTCGCACTTACCGTCTTCTCTTTCTTTTCCGGTTTCTCCTTTTTCTCTTTCTTTTCCTTTTTCGGTTTCTTCTTTTCCTTCTTCTCGGCACCACCTTCATCGCCGCTACCTCCACCGCCACCACCACCACTTGCATCCGAATCCTCTGAATCACTGGCCACATTCGAATCATATTCTTCCGCAACATCAGATTCATTTTCATTTGGTTTGAAATCTTCATCTGTAGATTCTTCTTCAGAGCCATCTTCATCATCATCTGAATCCTTTTCTCTGGCTTCAGCCTTAACGCGGGCCAAATAGGCATCGGGTTCATTTTCATTATCCGAATCACCGAAGTCAACATCTTTGTAGCCACCCTTATCTTTGCCCACATTACTAATGTTCAGTTTCTTTTGATTAATGAAATCGAAAAGCTTGGAATATTCTTCCTTTTCGATGGAAGAGAATGTGTGTACAGTACCGTTTTTGAGTGTAACCTCAAAATCAAAACTACGTGTTGAACCACCGCTACGGGCAAAGTTAACAGTGGCAATTTCCTCGAAACGTATGTGTACGGGGGGTTTATGTATGTAGATGAAGCCACGTTCCAAAGGATAAAGATAACCTGCGGCAGCTTTGAATGAACAACCAACAGCAGCTGTGCCGGAGTGGCTAAAAGGCAGAAAATTCAAAAATTAATAAAAATGCCAAAAAAAAAAATCTCTCCATGTGTGTAACTTACCCCACAAAATTACCAGGTCCTGTTATTTTACGTCCTATCAATACTTTCATTACCTTACCCATAACCTCATACAAGGGGCCGGAGATTTCTTTTTCAAGTTTGCCCTCGTATTTCTCTTTCAGCTCCTCTTCGGTGAAGGGCAGCTCAATTGAAGTCTCATCTTCGGGACTAAAAAGTAACACCAAATAATGATAACGTGTTTGACCCTGTTTAATTGGAGGATCCAGCGACAAAACAAAGAACATTTGACGATTATCCTTGTGTGGCAACAAGAACAGCCTCAGCACAGAATCCATGGGAATTTTATAATCAAATGTTTTACCATGAAGTTGAAAGAATGTTGAAAATACTTTGATGTCATAACGACCTCTGGGTGTGAGACAATGAATTTCCCTAAAGATGGCAATGGCGTCACCAGATGCCGATATAACCGAAGCCTTGCTCATAACATTTGTCTGGAACGTTTCGACGGGGTCTTCTTCAGCCGATTCCACGGCGGGTATGTGGAAACGCATTTCCATTAAGCCCACCGGGGCATCATCGTTCTGATGAAATTCAATGGTAACCTCATTCTTACCCGTTGTACACTGCGAGACATGAGACAGCGGTATTTCGAATATCATTTTACTGTCTTTATCAAAACTGAGTACAGAACCCTTAAAATTTGCTGTACCCCAATTCCAACCTTTAACGCACATTTCCTTCTCCACCATATCCTGATGATAGACCTTTTTAACAAATTTCGCCAGTTTTTCATTTTCACTGTCCTTGAAGCCAACAAAACGATAGAGATTTCCAGATTTGGTAAACACCCGAATGCCCCAGTTACCGACAAATTTCTGAGAATTTATCAAATCGATATCATCGGCTGGTATGGTGTCCACTTTGCCAGTTTTACTATTTTTGTAGACAATATTCTGTTCGGACAATTTCAAACGGCCAGGTGTCTGCAAAAGAAAGTTTTTACGAACATGAGAAAAATGCGTTACATTTTTGTAAATCCGCTGAACTTACCATCACTCCCCGCACTTCCGCTGAAATATCATATTCCAATGTTTCCGCCATGATTTTGCAAAGATCGTTTTGTTCGTTCGCTCAACAACAATGAAATGCGGAATTTTTTGAAAACTTCTAGCTTCTAGTTATTTCGCAATTTTTTCAATTAAGTGCCGGCACGTTGATTCTTTCAATGGATCTTTTAACAAAACAAAGCACAAACAATGCTTTGCGCCTTCTTCTGCAGAAAATGGGGGAATGAAGGAATGTCAGTTGAAAATGGCATAAGGCAACATAAGCGAAAATCATTCACAAGGAATTGATAACAAAATTAAGATTGGCATTGGTAAAAAGAAGAAGCATTACTGCAAGGGTGTTGCCATATTAAAATATTTACACAATAAGCAAAAGAAGCCATAAATTGGGAATATCTGTATTTTTCGAAGATATGGGCCATCAAAGTTCCGCAAGGACTCTCATATTTCTGATTACAAAAATGTAAATTTATTATCAAAGAAGTCCACATTTCCTCGGATATGGGACTCCAAAATTCTCCAGGGACTCTTTTAAAGATGTCTATAGCAATATGGGTATGAATCAAGAACGAGAGAAGTGCGGATTATAAAAACATAATTATCTTAACAAAAATATCCACGTATTCTTTTGCAGTAATGAGTAAATGTATTGTGGCACACATTTTATTAAGATAGGAATCTTTCGCGAAGCCCAACATCTCATGTCCAAAGGAAAACGTTTTAGATCCCCGGCCGAAGGCTGGTCACCCACAAATATTATTCTAATTAATAGAAGATTTTGTCACGTAACTGGAGTTGGCATCTGTCCATAGGAGTAAGTCTAAAAAACCCCGCTGAAAATTGGCCAACCACCAATATTATTTCGTAATCAGGACTACTGTGTTAAATGACATCCATATTACCCCAGTAAATGTCCATGCGGAAGGCACATATCTCGAAAATTAGGAATTAATGCAAGAAAAGCATTATAATCAAGGTCTTAAGGTCTAATATGGTAAGCATTTCAAAACAGTCCTCAACCGGACCTTGAACTAGAAAGCCCCTTTAGTTTCTTTAGACGATATACTTAGAATCTTTTTTGAATCGATTAGGGCATATCAGTCTTCCTGATTGCAAAATCCGTAATTGCCGTTGAGGGGAAAACACATACGAGGATTCAGGCTTATGGGGGATTGGTATTATTTCTTGTTCAAACCTGGATGTCTACATGGTAAAATATAATGGAAAGAAAAGTAAGGTAAGCTATCAATGCCGATGCGATCTACGTCCAGATGTACGAACATTCGATGTCTCTTACTACGAAAAACAAAAAATTTTCAATCTCTGCTCGTCTTTACATAAAGATAAGATGTATAATACAACTGGAATCTTTTTATGCCTCCACCACAAGTTTGAGTGAGTATTGTGTGCATCACCTCGAGTTTATTCTGTGTAACACTTCGAAATATGCGTCACATACCCAATTTATTTATAATATATACTCCGGACCACACCAATTAAATTCTATGCCGACTTAGACATGTCTGTTCCCCTAGACTTGCTTTGGCACTTTTGGGTGCAGGAGCCGCTAATGAGGGTTCCAAAGTTTCTTTGGAACACTCACTTTTTCTTATATCCCTTCATTAGCCATTTGCCACAAAGGTGATGTTCTGTCGAGTGAAGCCGACGTATCGCAGGTTTGACGTCTCCTATCGATTTGAGGGTAGAGTGATGATGACAGTGACATTACCATCGTCCTCCTCATCTGACATTGGAATATAATTCCATATATTACCTGTGATGCTCTGCTGGTTCATGCGAAGCTGCAATATTTCTCAGCGAGGCTGAAGAGCGAAGAACTTTGTCGGTTTAAAAGTCGCCCAAGATCGACAGAAAAGTCATCTCACGCAGGTGGCGCATTTTGCGACAAGCGTGAACATGCGCTCATTGATTTGTGAGAAGAGTCCGTGTTCGAATCCGAGTTCATATTCCTAGAATTTGCACATGTGACATTTAGGACCGATGGTCCATGGCAGTCACGTCATCTTCAGTAAAAGAAATGAAGAACTAAGTCAACTATGGCAAGGACCATGGTACAATTATAAAAGGTAACAGCAAATCCCAGCTGATTTGATTCCAACGTAATACTAGTGTCAATATGAATTTGACAAATTATGTTTTTAAAAATCACCCAACAGGAAAATTGGGAACGCATACAATTTGAAATTGTTCTTTATTAAATGTGCTCCCGTATCCAATTTACTCAATCTGCCTGCTGGGAAAGTTTGAGGAAGCAAATCTTTCTTCAAGGAATAACTCGCTATTCCCAGCATTTTCATATGTGTTACACATATATATAGCAATGGCTCAATTATAGGAAAGATGTGGAAGCGATAGAAATATAAATTTGATAGATTTTCATTCATGTTTTTCAATTTTTATTTTGAGGATTCGAAAATATTTCATTTTCAAAATAAGAATAATTTGATGATAATTTGTTTGTTTACATTTTTCTGTCAAATGAGTTGACACTAGTAGAACTTACAACAAAAAATGTCCATGTTGTTGTTGTATCGTTTTTTGTACAACACACTTGCTGTTACCTTCTATTATTATACCATGGGCAAGGACATGGCAACTAAACCTAATACTAATCGAGGCGCGAAGGTATGGATGAGGATCAGTTCGAATACAGTTGGAACCCTAACTGCAAACCATATACACTGATGGAGACCCCAGCTTTAGGGTGTTAATAGTGGTTAATAGTGGACTTAAAAAATGTTGCCTTGTCAATACATAAGATCATTGGTATTCGGTCATTTCCTGCGAGACCGTTGATTCAATTTATAGCTACCCAATAACCAGTATTGGACTTTTCACGATCCGCAATCTGTGAACGTGTCCGATAGCATTCAGCTATGCTTCCGATCGCAGGTACATATAAGCTTAATTAGCACTGTAACAGTGTTTTTTAGATTATATCCGCGATTGGCGGAGAAAAGGGAGGATAGAAAAAAGGATGAGTTTATGTTATTTTGAAACACTACGTATTTTGGTGGGATCAATTCCGAAGAAAAATGTTGCAGTATTAATTGAGTTACACCCAAAGAGTGGGGTCTACAATGTGCCTCGTTGCATTTCCAGATATTTATATAGTTGGAGAATTTAAATCGCTATTGATAACATCACTTGGATATAAAGAATGAAATCGTTCTCCAAACACACTTTCTTATTAGTCTAAAAGATATACTCGATGTCGATTTTTTCAAAGAACAAAAATTTATTGGAACCTAATAGTACGTCTACATTGTCAATTCCATTGTATATCTGTCAAGTAAATCCTAAAAATTTAGATTAACCCGATATAAAGTTCTAATGTAAATGCCGTTTAATGAACTAAATAAACAAATTTTGGTATTTTGAGATATTGAAGTTTATATTTCAGTATCATTTAAGAATTAAGCTTTGAATTCTTCCCGATTTTTCTACTAAATTGCTTATCCCCCATTTCCTACATTTGTGCTGCCAATGTGGCAATAACGCAGCCATTTTAAAAGAATGGCAATACCAAACGTTTGTTTACAATTACCGGTATGTAGTTGGCAACGCGGCGTTAACGTGTTGGAATAGACTCGATTGAGAATTGCACAAACTTAGTTAATTTATTAATAAAAAAACAAACAAAAAATGGATGCGGTATGTAAACTTGATTAATTACTCAGTAATTTACTTAATAATTAATATTTCCTTTACATCCAATAGGAATTGAAACAAAAAATTGAGAGCTGTGTTCGTACGGCAGAAGACTTCACAAAACTATACTATCAGTCGTTTGATAAACGGAGGCATGTAAGTTAAATAGTATTTCTATAAATAATGCCGAATATTTTTAATATATTTTAAATCTCCTTGCAGCAAATCAGCCGCCTTTACCTGGAAAATGGTTTATTTGTATGGAATGGCAATGGCGCCTCGGGCAAAGATAATATACACAAATATTTCATAGAATTGCCCTCATCGGAACATACAATTTCCACTCTGGATGCTCAGCCTATTGTTGATGATGCTGTTGCCGGCCAATTAACATATCTAATACAATCTGGTGGTACTGTCAAATATACCGACCAACCGGTTAAACCTTTCCAGCAAACGTTCATTATAACTGCCCAAGATGACAAGTGGAGAATTGCCAGCGATTGTTATCGCCTGCAAGATGCTTTGGTGACACAAAATAAATAAGTGGTGGGAGGAGAAGATTGTTTTTAGTAGTTAGGTCTAATTTTGTACTGACTTTGTAAAAAAAATGAATAATAATAAAAAATAATGTAATTGTAATAATGAAACAAACATTTAAAGGAAATATTTAAGCTGTATGATTGTTTTTCGCAATAATTCGAAATATCAGCCTTTAGGGTTCTTGTAATGTGAATATATGCAAGAATTAGCAATAATTTTGAATTTTAGGTTCTTATGGCATAAAGAAGGTTTTAGTATGTACAAGGGTCCATATACCTATTTTATAGGATTTTCCTAGCAATGTGTTATTTACAATATATTAGGATGGGGGAAAAATCCATTATGAAAATGTCGATAAAACCGCATGTTAGCATAAAACTGTTTTAAACCATTTATACAAAGCTGGATTCAAAATAAGCTTGATGTTTGGGTGCCACACCAATTAACAGAAAAAATAGGATGGATCAAATTCCCATCTGCGAAGTCTTGCCAAACGGAATGAGATAGACCCATTTCTTAAACGGATGGTGACTGGAGATGCACGGTGGACAAACCAGGTGGGTTACTCTGTATTGCGATGCGTGAGAAAAATTGTAACGCATCGCGTAATTGGTACTCTCTAATTCGTTTTCGTATCTCCTTTCGCATCTACTTTACGCAAATGTGGCATCACCGCACTCTGTAATACGAAAACGCATGTCAAACTCGTTCGTTAAGCGCAAATATCTTGCGTTAACAAAATAGCAAACGCAAAGGAAGCGAAACATATAAGTAAGCTCAATTAAAGGTTTTATTTATATATAAATTGTAAATTATTTTAAGTAAAAGGCAAAAAAGTCACAGACTCAGCAACGTCAGTTCCTAACTTCAGTAGATTTTATGGGGCAACACAGTGATTTGGCAAAGGGACAGTTGCAGAGTTCAAATTCGAAACAACGCGCCAACAATTTGTGGACAAAACTGTCTGATGGCCTCAGTTCAAATTGACCTCCTGTAAAAGATGTCGATTGTTGGAAAAAGTAATGTATTCTATTTTTATATAATATGTGAAACTATGTGTGCATATTTACAGGTTGGTGTTGATAACCACCTTGTCCAAGCAATTTCAAAGCAGCGGCCTCTTTTATTGGAGTTGGAATTGTTGTGGATCTATTTGGAAAGACGAGCGTTTAATAAATACATAAACGAATCTTTATTGAGACGAACATGTTGTATAAATCTATAAAAATTAAATATTTGAAAACGTTTGTCACATAATTCGTACTTCAATTTTAATACCCGTGGTCACTTAGGGAGATTATTTGATCGATCTCATAAAATTCTTTTTTTTGTTTTTAATTCGTTCATCATTTTTGTTTCAAAAAATACTCGTACCACACAAAAAATATGTTTTTATTTAAATTTTTTGACGTTTCCTTTTGTCATTCTTCGTTGTTGTTTACTTTGTGGCGACAGTGTTGCCCTATTTTCGATTTAGTTTGCGAATGCGTGTGCGCGAGCGTTACAGAGTACCAAATTGTACTTTTAACGCATTTAGCTTTCGCATCGCAGTTGCTTTCGCAACGCAATACAGAGTAACCCCCCAGGACTAACGGCCAGGAAGGTTCTGCTATGGATTTGGTGAGACTGAAAGGGGATTATTTATTATGAGCTGCTTCCCTATGGCCAAACGTTAAATTCTGGTGTCTACTGCCAACAATTGGGACGTTTGAAGATAGCAAATGACCATAAACGGCCAGAATTGGCCAACAGGAGAGGTTTCGTGTTCCACCAGGACAACACATCTATAGTGACTTGCCAGAAACTTCGGGAGTTTTGTTGTGAAGTTTTATTGCATCTGTCATACAGTCCGAACTTGGCACCAAGAAAAATTTGATTTTCTTGCATTGCAAAATTTGTTTAATAATAAAAAAAATTTTATCCAGGTAGGATTGAGAAAATGGACTACTAGAATTTTTTGCAAATAGAGAGCAGGACTTCTATAAGAGAGGCATTATGAAGCTACCTTTAAAATGGCAACAAATCTTACACTATTTGACCATATTCGGACATTACGAAGAATGTTAAATAAAGTCCCATAATTCATATAAAAATAATGGATTTCCTTTTCCACAACTTAATATTACCACATTCAAAACTGGGCAGAAAATAGGAAAAATGTTGGATAATATTTCAAAAGGTATTAAAAATCCTAACTATGATCCGAAAGTTGGTAATTTGATGTTTAATGCGAAATTCAGAATACCAGCTTAGAGATAAAGTTTTTCTTCCTCCTTTTCCTTTTCTAAAAGAATCAGACATTTGGACATTAAGGATGGGGGCTTCTATTTTTTTCCATCGGAACCGAACTCACTTTTAGAATATGTTCAGAATCCACTGAAAGTAATCGAAAAATTTACGAATATAGAAAATTAAGGTTACTTTTTTTGTTATTTTTGTAAACAAAATACACACAATTAGATTTTCCCTCAGAGTATGTTAAGATTATTTGGAAAATAATCGGAAAACCAGTTAGAGAATCTCGGAAAAATCACATATCAGAACCCTCGATAAAAATGGTTAGCGATTTAATTTGGTTATTGAAATCACGATTGAGATCGGAATATTTAGGACTAGATGGAATGAATTGAATATAATTTTCAGGATTTTGAATGTTTCAGCTGAATTTTTTAAACGATGTGGATAAAATAACTTCTAGAACAAAATTGCCAACATAGGTATAGTTTTGTGCTAGCTCTGATATATAGGTTTGATACTTCTTTAGATATTTTGAAAGTTCTAACCATATTATTGTACAGATTAACTTTATGTTTTGGAAGGGCTCTGGTATAAAGGTCCGGTATTACTATATTAATTTTGGAAGTGCTAGCGGCATTTTTATACGAATTATCCTCAATTTCACATTAAAAATGTTAGGGGAAAAGGATATCTACCCAGATGTTCAATATACATCCAAATTTCCTCCCAGAAATATATTGAGTTGAGTTATTTAACACGCATTTAAAGGGTCGGCTTCATTTTAAGTAATTTGAATGACTGTCAACCATTTATTAAGACACGGGACTGGAACGCCTACGGGGACCAAATCTAGATGCTATCGGACGTTCTGCATATAGTGGACAGCCAGCTTGCTTTGGGAGAAAATGACCAAGTGGCTATGATTACAAGATCGACGAGATGAAATTGGCGCCCTAAAAATTAATCCCTGGTCTTAGGTCACCTCCTTTCTGAAGTGACTTACCTAACAATGAGGTGTTAGGCGACCTATTGCTCATCAGAATTTCTGGGTTTTGGAGTCAGGGTACCGACTGAATTTAAACGGAGCCTTGTCGATTCGTGGGCGCCACAACAAGTTATACAGATACAGTTAAAAGAACTAGATTTCATGCTTTATTTTTTTTTTCAAAACACATTCAATACAAGTGTCAAGCTTAAAAACTACTAAGAACTTCAAATGTCTAGAAGTCATTAATCTCTAAATCTTAAAATTCTAATTGGCTACTGTAAAGTGGAGCATTCAAAATACAACAGTTCCATTGGCTTTTCAATCTTAAGTACTATACATAACCTCAAAAAATGGATCTTCACATAACATACATGGCATACATACATACATATGTATATAAAAATATATACACACTTATTCATTTTTCGATTTCTTATTATCCGGCTCATTGCCATCATCATCACCATCCTCCTCACCACCACCTTCTGTACTAGTTGAAAATACCGGTTTTGGTTGAGTCTGCTTATAGGCCGGTGCAATCCAATATGGATTTTCTTCAGCTTCTTTGGCATATTTGAGAATAGCTTCACGAGGATCTTGATCATCATCGACACGTTTACTTAGACCCAAATTGCGGATAACATATGAACTGAGGGTACCACCGGAACTAGCAACACGACCACCCTGACCACTGGTAATGGGCAAATCAGGACGACGTGATTTAACCGGATCCAAACGATCCTTCTCCATTTTCTTACGTGATGAACCCGATTTCTCTTGCCTAAACATGGGTAGGGCATGAGGGGTGATAATTTGCGACACACCAACAACTTCCACTTGACGCTTCTTGCGATATTTCTTGACGGCACACAATTTGGCACCCCTTAGAGATCTTTGTTCATCATAGTAACATTTAATCACCCCATTACCACAACCCACAAACAATTGATTAAGTTTGGGATGCCATAACGTCTTTATGATATGTGAATCGGTAACCGGGATTCTCTTGATCTCCTCAAATGTTTGAGTATTATAGAAATGTAAATTGGCTTCCTTTTCGCCTTTGGCCAGGGATTCTCCCGTAACCAAAATCTTATCATCCGGACTGAAACAGCAATCGGTGGTGTCATAACGTGAATACAGGTTCGACCAAACATTCATGGGTTGTTTGAAACTTCGAATATCCCACAACTTCATCGTTTCATCATTACACCGTGTGGCCAATTGTTGGCCCAAATATGAAAACATAATTGAGGTTATTTCGGAACCCTTTTGATGAGCACCTCTTAAACAATGTGTGGTGTTGACAAACATTTTCCTCGTATCCCACATTTGTATGGAACCATCAATACAACCCGCCGCAATCAAGGTGGCATCTCGATTATAGGCACACGAAGAAGCATTAGTTTTCAAACCACCTTGTGCCCTTATCTTAATTACCGTATGTTGCTCCTTATTCTTTATACCTTTCCAAATGCGCAATGTTCCATCCATAGCAGCCGTCAGGAATTCCTCTTTTGTGTATGGGTGCCAACAACCGGAAGTCAATTGTGCCGTATGGCCCTTTGTCTTGGACATATCGGTAATATACAGATCACCCTTAACACATTCCATTTTCTCAAAACCATCTCGATCTAAAATCTTTGCTTGCGAATTCCCGGAAATTACCAATATCATATCACCCGTTATGGAATAGTGCAAATCGCGAATGGGATAATTCTCACAGGGCTGTATGGTACGAAAACTACGCATAGATGAATCCATACCGGCAAAATCCCAAAATGAAACTTCATAGTCTATGGAACCGGAAACCAAACGAGCACCAGCTGGGTCTCCAGCTAACGCCAATATGGCTTTGGAGCCATGTTGCATTTTAACTTCGTGGCTATCGGGAATTTTCTTTTCCAAATCTTCATCTTCGTCATTATCATCATCGTCGTCCTCATCATCATCACTGTCTTTTGTTGGCTTTTTAGATGAATCTTTAGATTTGACACTACCATCTTCTCCCGTGGCCATTGAAGGCAGAGGGCCTATAATTTCATCGTCATCATCATCGTCGTCTTCTTCATCCTTGGAGGGTGGTGGTGCCGGGGCAACTTCTTTGGCTTTGGCAATTTGTTCCTATTAAAATAAAACACCAATTACTAACTTCGCTACTGTTAAAATCCCCCATCTACTCACATTGATATCAAAGACCTTGGCCGTTTTCCTACCAAAACCGGTAAGACCCATAACTTCTTTTAGCCTCTGGGCCTCCATATCTTCAGTGACATCCTCAATTTGTTTTTGCATCTGATGTTTATCGATTTTTTTGAAACCTCCAACTGCACCGCCATCACTTGGGCCGGCCTGTTCCTTTTCCTCTTCATTTCCGGCAGCAGCTACTGTTGGCTTGCTGAGATTCAAATTAATTTTACCAAATGAAATTTTACCCCTCTGCATTTTTGAAGTAATTTATTTTATTTATTTGCTGACAAAAATTTGGTATATTTCTAAACAAGAAGAAGAAGAGTAAGAAAATAGATGCCATCGACAATCAAGAGCGAGGCCCATTGTACTTTGGTCTTGTATAATAATAATCCGAAATGTTTATAGCAGGTTACATGATTGCTGATAACAATACTACGAAGCCCGATTCCTCTGCAGCTGTTAAATATAATGGTAAACTGTAACTACAATTTCAAGAATAAGAACAGTTTTGAAACTTATTTCTGACATTCCTCATTAAAATAATCATTTTATACTCTTGGACTTCTGTGCTAATCGAAACCTAATGGATTGTATGTAAGTTCTAATGGATTTAAGTATGAGGTAGTTAGTTATTTTCCAATGTTTTTTATTTGTCTTTGTGGTTGAATATACACACAAATAAATGACGAATTCCTATTGAAAGGGGTTTTAAGATCATAACCACAATAAACAACTAATTTTAAATATCGGTGTCTAAACTGACAGAAGATGGTTTGTCATTGCACTAACAAAGCTTTACGGTCGGATTTATAATTTAAAATTCGAAATTTGTTATTACTTCAGCAAAACCTCGAAATATACCTTGGAAATGCCCTTTAAATATATTCATATTCCAACCGACTTGGCTATAAATTCCAAGTTTTCGAAGGTGAAGACATATTTACTGAAGATTATCAACATATCTCCCAAATATAAGAATATTTCCTTGAAAAATATTCTTAATAAATCCACGCCTCAGTTGGCCCTTGAAAAATATTCTTTAATAAATCCACGCCTCAGTTGGCCCTTGAAAAATATTCTTTAATAAATCCACGCCTCAGTTGGCCCTTGAAAAATATTCTTTAATAAATCCACGCCTCAGTTGGCCCTTTGAAAAATA